AGAACCTCGAAACGGTTCTTTTCTCACCTTATTTGTATTCAAAGGACAACAAACCAAGCTCTTGTCTTTGTTTATAACAACTCTCTGAGAATCTTTCATCTCCATTTCTCTAAAACCACAACCTCTCCCAAGCTTCTCGTCGTCATCGGTTTCCTTACCACTCCGCTCCCTTGTTACATCGTTTTCTTTTGACATAGCTAACAAACCATCTTCTTGATGCACAATTTCACATACATTCTCCTTCTCGCCCCAACACGGAAACTCCTTATACTGAAATCTAAACTTCTTAGGCACACAACCAGTACATTTCCACAGCTGAGGAGTGAAAACCGAAGAAAAACTTTCGAAAAGAGCCAAATCACCACCAGGGACTCCTTGAACATGAACCCTATCTTCAATTGGGATCTCAGTACACGGCCTAAAACCACCGCGATCCACGGTCTGACCCTGAGTCGAAAAATCCTCCATTCTCAATGTTTTGGTAACCAATAACTTAGCAGAAGAGACTTGAATGTCATTGTTTTTTATCTTACATTTGTGGCAAGCAAACAAATCATCTCCTTTGACATAACGAGAACACCATGTGTGTACCCAAACACCACATTCATCACAATTCACCATCTCTTTACCATCATCGAATTTCACACCGCAAACACAATCCACAGTCCAAGACCCATCAACCCAATCCTCGTGTGGTTTCATAATCGGGTACAAAGGAAGAAACCCTAATGCCTGATTTCTCTGATTTGTTCACCAATTTACCCAGAATCGCTCTAAAATTCCAACCTTTATGAACCAATTTGTCTCTTCTAAGCGTTGAAAAGAAACCCCTAGGAATCATCCATCGCACTTTCGAGGCTCGATTTCTCCACGGATGGGCTCCCAAAAGAGAGAAATGTTACGTGAAAAAAGCGTTGAGATTCCGATTACTCGACGTGAATCTATGGTTCTTGCCTCCGATTTCCCGCAGCAAACAACGGAGCTTCACGAAGAAGAGAACGTTGATGGTCCAAAGAAGATAGACGGAAACTGAAAATTTTCCATTATAAAATGGGCTTTAGTCAAATTATGGGCTGGGTTTAGAAGATTGTTCTTTTTTCTGCTCTTACTCTTTTTTTCTACGAATTTTTGTTTCTTTTTTTATCGGGTCAAAATGTATATAAACGATTTGATGAGTTAATCGGATAGGAGTCTCATCGGTTTTGTAGAATATTAAAAACCTTCCCATAAAATAGATTTGATGGGTTTGATTCCCATAAAATAGAGAAGATTAAAATTGATAAATCTAGTAAAAGTTTATGACGTGGTGTAAATATAGTCGTGTAAAGTTGTTCATCGCGATATAACGCATGTAGAAACTATTCTACCGTGAAATTTTGTATAGCATATAAAATTTTTTGTTGTAGAATCGTTTACTAAATTGTTCATCGTATTTCCAATTGCTGTAAAAAGAATTAGATTCACTTTGTCGTGAATAATATAAACTATTATTGTCATCTTTTCAAAATTTTTGAAAAATGTATTTTATCAAAAAAAATAATATAAACTATTATTTCAAATTGAAACAATTTAATTTAAGAATATTATTTTTATTTTTATTTTTAAATTATAGTATATGAAAAATATAACTGAAAAAGTAGTATTTTTAAAAATAGTTGTTTACTTTATATTTTAAATTATGCCGCCTAATTATTATTCTATCCACCCAGTAGCTACCAAACTCTTGTCTTTGTATTATCTTGGGGAAAATCGAATCGTACTCGACATTTTAGTTCCCTAGCAACCACCGATATACCAAATCTCATTTATTTATTTGTATTTTCTCTTTTGAAAGTTGTTTGGTCTCACCCGAATTCATTCTTTCGTAATTGTATATTCTTTATATCCACTGCTAATTGTACCTAGTAGAGATATACGTTATTCAAATAATTGAGCGTTTAAAATATCAAGATTTTTATTATAAAACGAAACGGCATTAAAAAAAAAATGAAAAGTATCGCCATACCAAAGTATATTATATGCATTGTTATTTCCAAACGTTTTCATTGGTTTGTATAATCTGTTTCCAATTTACCGGCGTTGTTATTGGTAGAGTAAACCATCAGAGTAAAAAAAATAAAATGATAATGTTTACATATAATTTCATAAGTACCTATAGTTTCTCTTTTTTAGTTAATTAATTTCTTATAGTTCCAAGGAGCATATCTTTATACCTGTAGCGAATTACTAAAGCTGCGGTGCTTACGGATGTAATGGTAATTTTTATGATTTACTTGATGTGAAAAAGGTGGATAAATGAGTAAATAGATTTGTAGAAGATGGTGATAGTTTTTATTTATTTACTTGCTGTGTAAAAAAGGTGAATAAATGAGTAAAATGGATTTTATAGGAAGATGGATAATTCGGAAGCTTATGTAATGTCATTGTCATTGCCTTCTTTTTTGTCGGCAAGTAATGTTTGAGTTTAAACTCATGTTTATCCGTTCGGACAATTCTATTTGTATTCCTTGGATATCATAAAAGGAAATACGTAATGTACAAAAAAAGGTTTGATTGATTATTAGTTCCAATACCATGATTTCATAATAAAGATATGAAGTGTATAGTATATGGAAAATAAATGTGACAATTAATAGCTTCATTCAACCAAAATGTACGAAAGAACTTTTCTCAAACAAACAAAAAATGTACCAAAAATCATGGATTTTACGTTGGTAAGTAAATGTGGTGGTAAGTTATTATTTTTGTTTTATATATTTAACAAAAATTAAACCTTGGAGTTATATTTGAATTTGAAAAATATTGATATAAAAGGGTGAAGGTGCTGAGTTTTACAGTAATCCACTTATATTATGAAAGATTTGATTAGTTTTGAAATGTTATAGAAGTTGTCAAATTTTCATATATACCTTACAAATCATACTTTATTTATGAGAATTTTTGAAAAATGTCATTTTTAAAATTCTACTTTTCAAAAATGTTACATTTCAAAATCTTTTCAAAAATGCCACTAAAATTATATTATTTATTCAAAGTATCATTTTA